ACACACACATTTTACAGTATCGGCCCCGATACCTGATACCAGTATCGGTATCGGTGCATCCCTAGTTTGAATTAATTGGTTTGTTTGTAACGCATTGGAGCCTGTTTGCGTCTCCTTTTGTTTTGGGTTTGTTTTTGTGTTATATTTGGAAAATTTAAAATAAAATGATCAAAACAACAACAAAAAAACAAAAAACCATCCAAATGCTCCAGACGAGGAAACTGGCCGAATGTCTGCTTTCATAGAGCTGACGACCGTCCCCTGTGATGATTTCTGTTTTAAGATAAACGTGCTACAGTATTGTGAGAGGGAGTCAGACTTGAATAATTACTAATGATTAAATGAGGACTGGTGTATAGTCGGGATGAGTGCTGTAATGATCGAATGGCTCCACACTCCCAGCATTGGGCATCAATTATAAACGGGTGTTTCCTAAATGTTGTGCAGCCATCTGCCACCAGAGGGAGCCTCTATGGTGAGACACGCCATGAATGTGTTATCTACTGTCACAGTCGTTACGTTACTGCTTCTGTACATGCACTTTTCATCTTCTGTTTCTTCTGCAGCTCGTGGAGACGTCTTTGAAGGGCGAGATCACCTTTGACCCTTGCTGTGCCTACTATTTGTGGTTTGTTATGGACTTCTGCGACGGCGGCGACATGAATGCCTACTTGCTGTCTCGCAAACCCAGCCGCAAGACCAACACCAGCTTCATGCTGCAGCTGGGCAGCGCCCTGGCGTTCCTGCACCGTAACCAGATCATACACCGTGACCTCAAACCAGACAACATCCTCATCTCCCAGGCCTGCACGCCGGCCGGCTCGTCCGAGCCCACCCTCAAAGTGGCCGACTTCGGCCTGAGCAAGGTCTGCTCTACATCCGGGCTCAACCCCGAGGAGCCGGCCAGCGTCAACAAGTGCTTCCTGTCCACGGCTTGTGGGACGGACTTCTACATGGCCCCGGAGGTGTGGGAGGGCCACTACACAGCCAAGGCCGATATCTTCGCCCTGGGGGTGATCATCTGGGCTATGGTGGAGCGCATCACCTTTGTGGATGTGGAGACTCAGAAGGAGCTGCTGGGGAGCTACGTGCAGCAGGGCTCGGAGATCGTGCCGCTGGGAGAGGCCCTGTTAGAGAACCCAAAGATGGAGCTGCTGATCCCTGCCCGGAAAAAGAGCATGAACAGCCACATGAAGCAGCTGATCAGGGAGATGCTGTCGGCCAACCCTCAGGAGCGGCCCGACGCCTTCGAGCTGGAGCTCAGACTGGTCCGTATCGCGTGCAGAGAGCTCGACTGGGACACGTGATTGACGAGCAAACGTCGCCACAAACTCGGCCGCAAAGCACACGCAAACATCTCATCAGCTGCTGTTAACAACGATGGTCACATGATGAGGAGTTCCTGTTTTTTACTAAGGCATTGGTTGTAATATTGATTATCCTTTAGCCACTGTTCAATCACCCACGGTCTACGACTTTATATCGAAGGGGGGAGGTGTCACAGTCTCAGGCTAATCACAGCTTCCACTTCCTCATTTCATCTGTCAGTGAAGCACGATGGAAGAGCAACGCGACCTTAGAAACTCCTGCTTTCAGACAGTCGAAGCCTTTGTCTTCAAATGCCACCCAAACCTCGGTGCTAACTAAATGCAATATGAGACGTGATCCTGTGATTTTTGTGTTTTGTGTGCTCACATTCACCCAAAGGGCCGATGCTGCATCCAGCCACCTCATCGCGCTGCTGTAGTTGTTTGTGGGTTTGACAGGACCTGACGTGAAACACGTCACAATTTACACGAAGATTGGACTCAAATACAAACAAGCCCTGAACGCTCAGGTATTAATGGCGTACAGCTCGATGGCGTTTGAAGACAAAAGCTCGCTGTCGAGGGACGTTCTGCTCATTGTGGGGGGAATAAAAACTTTGGTGCTTACATATTAGTAACAAGGGTGGAGGACTTTTTTTCTTTATCAGCAAGTGTCCAGCCAGCAGGGGCTCGTGGTTGGGGGTTCCTCCCCTTTGCAAACTGTAAGATAGGCTGGCCAGTCGCAGACACACCCCTGGCCGGATGATCAGAATGTATAATGATGGAGAGCGGTCCCTGTTATTAACATACAGCCTTAAACACAGAAATACTTCTAGCCCCAAGCACGTCATCCAGTCGGTGAGGCAGACAAAGGATCATTCAGGTTTATTACACGTTTGTTCCAGTCTGAACACTGTTCTCACCGAAGCCCCTTTAGACTGAGTTTCTGTCATTTCAGGTCAGATAAGAGACTGCTGACGGAGTAAGACGCTGTTTTTAATATGTTTAATATCCTTGCAACATGAGGCACAAGGTGGTCAGCAGAGAATCACGTATATCTGAGGTTTACCAGCTGGTTGCTGGTCATAGGTGGCCAGCTGAAAACAGTCCAGTTAGGCTCGACTGCTGACCAGTTTGTGGCCTCTGGTGTCTACTCCTAATTATGTCAGCGAGTGCAGCACTGCAGGCTGCTGAAGCCGACCAAAGTCACGTAGATGTATCACCAAAACATGATGATCACCAAAACACGCTTGGATAAGTCTTGTAGCTGAAGCTTAATATTAATGTGATACACCGTAAAACTACCATGAAATAATACCGTGATACAAATGTTTTCAATATCACAGAGTTGGGAAATCGCCTTAGTGCTTCTTTATTAAATAGTTATCACTGATGAAGCCCTGATCTGTACGATATTGTTCCAGCCTGTAATCATAGAGGCTCTGGTCTCCAGTTTTACTCTCATAAAGGCGACTTCCAAACTTCCAAATAGGGCTGCCACGATTAGTCGACTATCAAAATCGTCGACGACTGATTTAATAGTCGACGCGTCGTTTGAAGCTTTGTAAGATCCCAAAAGACGCAGGAATAAGTAGCAGGATTTAAGAGTGTAATAACGGACTGAAACAGAAGATGGCAGCACTGCATGTACAAGGATGCCAGCTG